CTTCTCCCCTATGTCACCAGCCACTAGAAGGCACGGAGCAGAGCCAGCTCTTGTGTAACCCAATTCTTGACGAATATTGGTTCTTCACAAATATTTATTAAATAATTGAATAAAGCAAAAGACATAAAAGTAAGTTAAAAGAAGAGCACAGTGTGAAAGGTTAGGAGATATTAATAAAGAAATAAATTAAGAAGCAGGAGAACATAAAAAGAAACATAAGAAGGAAATGAATTAACTATGAGAAATATACAGAATATGAAAGCAAAGGATAGAAAAGAGGCAAAAGATGCATATGGGTTGAAGGGGAAAAAAAGAGAAAAGTAAATTTAAACACACAGGTTCCCTTCCGATCTTTGTCAAGAACAAAGCAGAGGTTCTAGAAGACCTGGAAGTAGAAAAGATGCAGAATTGCTGATGCTAACCATGGTATATTGTCAGGTGCAGGGTTGGTGTAGATTCCTGATGTGTAGTACAGAAGCTGTGGCATTACCTGGTAGCTTATTAGAAATGCAGAATATTGGGCCCCACCCTGGTCCTACTGAATCTGAGTGTGCATTTTAACAAGATCCCCCGATGATTCTTTTATATAACAAAGTTTGAGAAGTACTGATGTAGCTATCTGAAATCCACAGATAACCTCCACATTCATTCCAATCAATGGTATATTACACAAAGCACTGGCACTGGAGCCACACAACCTCGAGGAAGTCTCTTATTATCCCTGGTTCTCAGTTTTCCATCTATTAAATGAGAAGGTCAGAGTAGATGCCTTCTAAAGGATCACAGAGCTTGATGCTCTGGATCTCATTTAACAGCATAATTTCAACCCTTCTCATAGTCACCAAACAATATCATTGACTAATGAATATCGCACTTCCTCTCTCTGTTCATTTACTTAATATTTTCTAAGTATCTATTATGTGCCAGTCACTTAGAAATGATTCTAAGATGAATGAAACATCTCTCCCTGCCTTTGAGGAGCTCATGAACTTCTTGGGGAAACAATGCACACCAATAAAATTAGTGCACTGAGAAGCAGGAACACATGCTGGTATAACAAAGAAGGCAGAGCAATCTCCCTGCTTGGGCCGGTCGTGGAGAATTTCAACACGGGGACAACACATGGGCCCCCTTTTCTGCCAACCGTGGCTGACAGTGCTAGAAAGTGAAAAGGGAAAAGTAAGATGGTGGGAGAACATCAAGAAAACAACCAAAGGCCCTGAACACACCTCTGGTTCACAAATCCCCACCATTTCATCCAACCAATGAGTTTTGTGCAAAGGTCACAGATATACAGACACAGGTGGCCCTGGGAAACCCACTCCTCTGAGTTACATGTGCTCCCTCTACTGACTATATTCTGTTCTTCCATTTTTGGCCTCCTTCTGGATGATAATATCAATTCAACCACTAATCCACTCTCCCTGGAGACTTCTTCTTGTGGTTGAAAGAGGAGATGCACTTTAATAAATGTGAGCAATTCATTAGACCAGTAACTCATTTGATCTATATTTATTTACAGAGAAAGACTATACTAGTATCCAATCATGGGTACAGTAGCAGAAGCTGAAAATATAGTTCATGGAAAGGAAGAACTCTCTAGAATTATTAAGGAGGGTATAGAATGGCACTGAGGAAAAGGAAAAGTTTAAATTTTCCAGCTTATCCACTCTTGAACCCATCAAGATGAGATGTTCTGTCACTGGAGATGAGCGGTTTTATCAGCCCTGTCTTCGGTACTGAAAAGAGAAGGTGGTCCATCAAAACAGCCACTTTCCAACCTGTACAATGGTGAAGTCAAGCCTGGCTTCTTTCCCTCCCCTGGCTTCTAGATAGCAGTTTTTGGCTATAGTTTCTTCACATACAACTTGTCCTATCTCCTGCCTCCTTTATTTCATAGTCCATAAATACTAATTTGACATCCCACCTGTTAATACTAATGGATATATCACTTTCATTTGATTCTTAAATAAGAAAAGGGGCATTCTGCTCCTTGGGGCTCATCATCGTCGTGAGGGAATAGGAAGAACAATGCATCCACCGGCTAGGCCCGCTCAACCCCATTTCGCCCTGTCAGACACCTCTCACTCCACCAACCAATTTCAGTCTCTGATCTTTCTTCCAGGTGGCCACCACCCCTCCCTCTCGGCACAAGGCTAGGTACAGGCAGGTGAACATCAAGAAACACAGGTAAGGTTCCGAAGCCATCTCAGAGGAGGTAAAGCAGGAACACAAAAATCAAAGTCGCTGCTGTTCATCCCTCCTCCAAAAGAAGTTGCCCCTTCCAATCACCCTTAATAAAAGGGTTCCTGTGATGCAAGTGGTGACTAGAGGAATTCTTCCCTTTTCCATTTGTCCTGTCATTTTCTCTCTTTATTCTCTCCACCTGAACCATCCTTGACAAAAATCACAGGTATACAACAGCAGAACAAGAGTGTGCAGGCAGACAGGCTTCCTAAAGCTGAAGCAATAGGTGAGGGAATTGAACAATTTCTTAGCACACCCTTCACCCCTCCTGCACACCAGCACCTGTGCCTGCACTGCCACATCCTGCTGTGAGCACAGGTCCACCATGCCTCACCTGAAACAGACTCAGAAGAGAACCACGTGGCTCTGCTTCCCTTGAAAATCACCCCTTTAGCATCTGTCACCATGTTTTCCCAAGAAGTCTTTATTTGCACACCACCGAGGCTCCTCAAATGAAGCCTCATTACTTTCCCATGTACCCCACACTATAAGGGGGTGGCTAGAGGAGGGGAGACAGAATAGAACCTCATCAGCTCTTTGCTCTGCGAGGAGAAAAGAGGGCGAGAACAATGGTCCAGGGATGGCCTAGAAGGCCACTGAGTCCCAATCTTCTGGACATTGCTGACGAGGATGGAGGACACCTGCCTCCCCGCCAGGTTCCACAGAATGGCTTTGGATGCCAAAAGGGTACAAACCACCTGTGGCAATTCCTCTCCACATCTAAAAGAGCTTGTTCCTATTGGACTACCTTTCTTTATGGCCATCTCACCCCTTATCCTTCTTTTACCAGTAACCTCTGCATTCAACAGCTCCTCCTTTGCTTAGTCTTTGAGCCAACTAATGAGAGCCTGGAACTGGGCTTAATCCCACTGATAGTCAAGACAAATGAAGTGAATGAGACCCTGTCAAAAGGCCTTCTTGTTGATCTCATCACCAACGAACCTTTTGAAGGACCTATCTGGTGCCAAGTACTTCACAGGCACCAGGCACATGAAAAGGGCCATGCGCCCTGTGGATATTCATCTCTCTTTCCCATCTGCATGTATGAAATCATTGCACAAGGAGCTGCCTCTCCCACCCATCCCTCTGTTCTATTTTGAAGTGAAATTAAGGGTTCATCCTCCCACTTGAAGAAGTAAAAGCAGATGGGGAGCCAGCTCAGGTGTCTCTAAGGTGAGCACACACCAGATAACCTCAGCCATTTGTAGACATGGTGAGAACATGGTTCAAATCGAGATCCCCCACCCCTCTCTCTTTGATTACACCATGGTTACAGATTAGTATTTCAGCAATAAAAGCTCAAGAGAATGAAGCCTGGGGAGAGGGACCTTGAATCTGGCTGACATCCATCCTTTCTGGACAATAAAGAACTATCATCCACTGTGATGTTGGGTGACAAGGATCTTCCAACACTTCCCTCACATCCTGTTAGTATTTTAGGATTGTTTCAAAAGATTGTCATTTTATAAGTGCCAGGGGGAAGAACATTTTGTGGGAAAAGGGAATACTGTTAGGAAGATTATTGATGCTAATGGTTTTGCTATATCTTTATGAAGACTTTTATTCCAGCCCAACAACTCAGTGCCTTTAGAGTTTGGGGATTTACAGGCAGCTGAGCAGGAGGATGAGCAGCCTACTCATTATCATGGCCCTCCAGCCCGTAGATGGTCTGATTTTCTCAAGAGTTGCCTTGGGTTGCCTGAATGACTAGCAGAAGAGTCATTAGCTAAGTCTTTTCCATTTCTACAGCTATTTTTCTTTGTAAGTACATTAAAATACTACCTAACCACACTTCACATAGTGTAAAAACTATTGAGAGGGCAAAAATTAAAGTATTACTTCTGGTTTTGGGGGTACAAGACTAACACATGCACACAGCACATCTCTTTGTTCAACACAAAGACTCACGTGTCAGATTCTGCACCCCGTCCACACACACAGCATTTTAGAACTCTGCAAGATAGCCATTTTGCAAGAGTGTGGAAGTAACAGTTTGCTTGGAGGATTTGCGGGTATAAATAGATGTGTAGACAGAAGGAGAAATTTACAGCTCAAAAATAATAGCACACAGGAAAAAAACACAAATGAAATGTAGAATATTGGCAGAATTCCTTCCTTCCAAGCCCAAGGGTTAAGTCCTCCTAATCTGCAGCACCCTTCGGTTCCAGGTGTTCTCAGACCAGCCCCATTCCCTGCACAGCCCTGCCCCTCTGCAATAGGCCTCCCGGGATCTCTGGGCCCAGTGTCGGCCCTTTAGACAGCAAGCAGATTTGGTTGGGGGCAACAACCACAGTAATCTCCATCATTATTTTTATTTTTTTAAAGGACATAGGGATGCCTAGAAAGGCAGAGTCAGAAAATAGAGACAGAAACATGAAGATGGCAAGAAGGAAAAACATAATTCTAGATCCCATAAAAATCATAGCTTTTGCTCTGGATGAATACAATGCTATTTAACTAGAAGATCACACAGGTTTCCTGGCCAGCTGTGTCTGTATAGAGACACCCCTATGCCCTCAACATCTCTGTGCTTGCATACAACCCCCCCCAAAACCCAAAACCTGTTTGATGAGAGAAAGGAAAGAAATGTCATGGGAGGTTTCCCTCATTGTAATAAGCTTTTTTCCCAAGACAGCATTATTTTGATATCTTGTTATCTTTTCTCCCAAAAACATCCACTTGAGGGACTGGAAGAGACAAAACAAGGGATCCCTACCCCAGGTGAGGAAACATTAAAACAGAATTTGCCCTACCTTGGTTTGTAGAAGCCAAACCTCTAGACGGACAGATTAAGGGAGTGAGCATGTTGGGAATGTCCAGTCTCCTCTTCTCGCTTGCATATCCACATAGGAGAGATGAAGGATAAATGAACGGAAGATAATTTAAAATCCAATTTAGCGTAAATTTTGTTTTAATCTTGTGTCTTGAAGGATGCAAATTCAAATAAAAAGGATTTAATTCAAAGGTAATTCAGGGTATGGAGAGCAGCTCACCATGCAGAATCCAGAGTAATTATTCCGTTTGCATGTGAGGTTAGTGGCTGGTACTGTATATATTTTAAGGATTCTTCAGGCAATTACGGGTTTTGGTTTTTGGAGCTTTAGTAGAGAAGGCTCTGTGTAGAGAAGCTGGGGGCCGGCTCCGTCCCTTCTTGGAGCATGGTCATTCCCAAAGCGTCCCCTTCCTAAGGGGAAAAAAGAGGCGGTCAGGCTAGGCTCGAGTGTCCCCCGGAGGGTGAGAAAAATGCATTCCGAAAAAGATATCAATTCTTTATATGGGAAAGGGGGTGGAAAGCCCGCATTTCCCACAGAGTGCACACGAGAGGAATTGCAAACAGCTGGCACCGGTCTATAAATAATTCCGAAAAGGTCTGGTTATACCATTCCTGGGACCGGCGTGGATGAGAGGTGGGGAAACCAACCTGAATGGAAGAGGAGAAAGGGAGGGAGCGAGCCAAGGAGGCAAGTGGGAAGGAAGGAGGGAGGGAGAGCGGAGAAGAGACACCGCACAGCAACACACGCGCGCACACACGCGCACACGCACACGCACGCAGAAACACAATCCCCACTGAACTCGCCAGCAAGTGCGGCCCCCAGCCCCATCTGCATTGCTGCTGACCCGTCTTTCTGCCCGGCGCCTCCAGCAGCAGCGCCTCCTCCCACCTTGGGCTCGTGCTGAATGGGTTCCGATTGTGCACGGGGTGCACGCTGGGCATTTCTTGGAAGGGGCACACTGACACGCGCGCGCACACACGCCCCCGACGCGCACGCGCCCCCGCGCGCACTCACACTCGCCCCCGCGCACACTCACGCCGCCGCCGCCGCGCTGCTGTGCCGCGCTCCGGCTTCACCTGCAACGTGTCGATTGCACGGATGGTCGCGGCGCGTGGCTCCGGCCCCGGGCCCGCCGCCCAGCCTCTGCTAGGTGAGGGGTTCACCCCCTCCAAAAGACCAAAGCCAGCCCTGCCCCCGCCCCCCAAGCCTTAAGAACAAAAAGCCACGTCCAAATTAGCAAGCGCCGTGTTCCGCTGGATTAGAGCTTTACCCAACACCTGGCTGGTTAACGGCTTCACTGCTCCGACTCTATCTGCTCGACACCCCCAAACCCCCAAATCGAGAGGAGACTCCACGGCGAGGATTTACGCACCGGCTCGGAGCGCCTCCGCCGGGGCAGAGTCTCCGGGGAGCGGTGGCCGGTGGCGGGGGGATTGAGGGTTTTCTTCCTCTGCAAAGCAGGATTAATGACCCGTCTCCCCGTCTCGGAGGTTTTGAAGTTCACGGCTCTTCTTTGCAAAGCAAAAGGAAAATGCATTCGGACGCCAGCACTTCTGGGTTGCGGTGATCGAGAATCACCCAGAGAGCACTTTCGATAGAGCGGAGCCCCGAGATTTCCTAGAGGTGAAGAAGCGAAGGAAGTGGTTTTTGCAAGGGGGTGGGGGACCTTCCTTTCTCAAAAAACGGGGGGGGGGGGTGGAGAGGCAGGAGCCCAGATTCCAGTTGGTGGTTCTGGGAGGAGCCGGGGGAGGGGAAGCGGGCGGGAGCAGAGGAGAGGAAGAGGAGGGGAGGAAGGGAGAGTAGGAAAAATGGGTATTAATCAACGGCCACGGGGGCAGGGCGGGACCGCACAGGTTGCCAGGTCTGGACTGGCGTCTCACACCCAGAAACGTGCCACACACACGCGCGCGCGCACACACACACACACACACACGCACGCCCTACCTCGCACACGCGGACTGTGGAGGGAGGAGAAACCCGCGAACAAGGAAGATGCTTCTGCTCCCAGACTGTGCGCGTCCTCTTTCTCCAACCCCCCACCCCTGCCCACCCCCAAACCCCTTCACCCCCTCACTCCTATTGCTAAGACTCTGGCGGAGGCAGCTTCCCACGTCATGTGCGGGGAAGCGGGGTAGGAAGGGGAAAGGCTTAGCCCGTGTCCGTGGCGCCTCCTCCTGGCCGCAGCGGGGAACAGCAAGGAGGGAGGGCTGCTCGCGTGGGGAGCGAGAGGGGCCTGGGCGGGGGCCGTGCTCCGCGGACAGCACCTGCCAGGCGCAGCCGAGGCTGACATTGAAGACCTTCGCTTTATTTTCCATAAATCAGCCTCCTTCGTCCGCGCATTCTGTGTGCCGGGTTCTTGCCTTCAAGGAGCTTCAGATCTATTTTGAGCGTTCCAGGTTGACCAGTACACAATAGAAAATAAGGCAAGGTAAAAGTAATTAAAGGCTAAGTGGTACAGAAGACGCTGTATGTGTGCTTTTCTGACTCGTAGTGATGCTTAGAGGAGTTTGGATTTTTTTAAAGGTGGATCTTGTTATTTAAAGATTTTGACAAGATAAGGAAACAACTGAACATCCCCCATAAGAAACTAGATTTCATAGCATTCGCAAAGCCACCCTGTAAAGGGCAAACATGCATTCATTTCTTTCCTTTTACCGTTTTATGTTGTAATAGCGCCTATCATCGCCTGCAGGGTTATTTATTTTTAATACTAGCACTGTCATATGTACATCATTTTTATTCACATCGAGTTTCTTCTCAACGACCCAGAAGACGAAAATAATGGAGCATTTTTATATTGGTTATAATATGGGCTTCTCAGTCTTGAGAAGTAGCCACACAAACACTGAAAACGATGGTGTGTGAAGTGGTTACACCCAGTAGCTTGGCGCTTTGTTCTCTCCAAAGGACATCTTATGTTGTGCTGTCCTGTAGACCGGATAGTATTCATAATACATCTGAACAAATCCTTTCATATTTCTTGCTTATTGTTAGGCTTATTCTTGGCATCCAAGATTTTTAAGATGCACACACAAACACATATCATTACGAAACATTGTGTCCACATGCCAATCATTCTTCTTCAGTAAAGTGCCTCTGTTTCCCAGGACAGGCCGGGGCTGACCTTCTGCCCCTTTGGAGGACTACATGACCTCCCACTGCTGCTGTGCCTCTCCCTACACTACAGCCAGCTCACACCCTTCTGAGAGCAGCTTTCCAGTCCAACCACTGGAACACAGATTTCAGGAGGAGGATTACAGGATGCAGGCACCGGGGCTCTGTGAGCTCCCCTGAAACCTTCTTCTTTGGGTTTTCCAGAAAAGGCCTTTACCTTCAAAGCAAGATCCAAACCCACTGGACCACCTCATGGGTTGACCTTTAACCTACATTTCTACATTGTATTTTTATATATGGCCAACCTATTGCCAACCCCATTCACTGAAATTGTGCAGTATTCTTTTTTGTTTTCTGCTCTTTTCCTCCCTGCAAATTCCAAACCCACCAATTTCTTTCCAGCTTGTTCACTTTCGCAAGTGTAGAGGGCAAAATGAACTCTCATATTCCCAGTACCTGATCAAGTCCCACTTCCTCTTGCTATAGTTTTTAGTTAATCAAGACTGAATTGATTTCTTTAACAATGTTGAGAATTTTGAAATGAGGGATGGCACCTCATTATCATACTCCAACCTTCACTCCCTGCAGGGAGAAATATATAGAAGAGTTTGATCAGCTATCACAATGACTGGGTGATATTTCTTGCATGTGTTATCCAGGTATCAGACATACTAAATATACCAAATTGGACATTTGGTCCTGCATTATGAAGAACTGGCCAGCAAAAGAAACAGTAATACTTCCTTAGCTAGTCATGTTGAATCATATCAAACTATTGATAATTCAGACATTTGATATTGCCAATCATATGAATTAACCATTACTGACTGACCTATGGTAAAAAAGTTCATACAGTTCAACTTAAAAATTGTATTCATATATATATATATATATATATATATATGTGTGTGTGTGTGTGTGTGTCTTCCCAAGTCACTGTCTATCTTCTTAGTAGAAGGGTTCAGTAAATATTAATGCTTTCCTAATTACTGTTTGAAACCACTTTCCCAAGCAGTTCTTCTGACTATGGGATAGCTAATTCTAGGAACCATGCAGCTTGTGATGTAGAAAGTGATATCCTTCCTTCCTCATTGTGTTTGTTGCCTTAGGCATTCAGTGGGACCAAGACCTCCCTTCTTAGTTCTCTGATTACTTCTCACTCACTTCTGCACTTCTTACAAACAACCTTTGCATCCATGGGGTACAAACTTTTCAATAAAACTATTTCAAGGACCACCCAGATTCACGAAATTCAAAACACCATTTCTTGATGTTACAAATAATACATTTCCTAACTCCTAGTCAGCCAGTACAGAAAGCAATGTTCTAACAAGACAAGATGTTGGATTATATTTCACAGCATTGTTCATTGAGGGAAAGCTCTTACCTGAGGCTGCTAATGACACAGTTGGAGGTATTCTGCCAGCTCCCTTGACCCAAAGAGAGGATCCCAGGAAATGCAAGCTCCTGTCCTTTGCCCAATTGGCAGAGGCAAAGTCCATGCCTGGCCCAGCAAAAATAAAAAATATTATCTGACACCTCTTTCAGATCAAACACACAACAAAGGGCAGGGCCTAAAGCTTGTACAATTTGGGATACCTCTTTAAGAAAAAGAATTTTAAAATGTGTGTGAAAGTAAATACTTAAAATGAGAAAATAAATCACAACAGTTCAAAAATTCTTTACTGACTCCCAAACGCAAAGACCAAAAAATTTAAACAACAATTTTACTATTTAATTGGCTAACATTTCTGAAATATTTGTTTTTGTATGTTTTTAAACTAGTATCTTTTAGCACCTCTTCACATGTTGATTTAAAGTATCATTTTCTGTGATGGTAATAGAATTAAAAAAGAAATCGAGTGAGTGCTTCAACAGGGCTGTTTAGGATAGTTCTGCAGTGTAGATGATTTAGAATGATGTCTTACTTATTGGCAGTGCATTGGTAGTAATGCAACGTACATTTTTTGGATTGTTGTCAAACTTGGGGAAATCCTTTTCAAATTTGTTTTAAATATAAGCTATAAGGTTACAGATATTTCAAGTTTTCTTATACAGTGACTAACTTTAAATGACTCCTGAATTGATGACCCTCATTAACTAGTTTCTATGTAATATAAGTTTTACATTATCTTCATCAATGTCAGTATTGTATCTCAAATCAGCCAGAAATTTAAATTTTTTCCTATGTGTTCCTATGATTCACTCCTCTTCATTAAATTATCAAATAATTAGAAACCTTTTCATTACTTCTATTTAAAATTTCTCTTTTCTTCTTAAAAAAATAGTTTTGATATGATTTTGGGAAAAACGTTAATTCATTCCTTCATGTCAGGTTAATTCTATTGATGTCAGTGCCCATCTTTATCTCTTTTGTTTCATATTTCATTACTTTTCTTTTCTTTTCTTTTCTTTTTTTTTGGTGCCAGGGATCGAATTCGGGTCCTTGCGCTTGCGAAGCAGGTGGCAGAACCACTGAGCTAAATCCCCAGCCCTAATATTTCATTACTTTTCATCTGAGTTTTCTCTTGGTTCTTTAATAAATAAATGTCGATAATAAAAGAAAGAACTCTTCTAATATGTTCTAAACAACAGTCTGTTATTTCTCACTTGTTTTATTAAAATGTTCCAGAATGTCTTTCTAGATTGCACTTGAAGTACCACAACAATCTTCATAGACTTTTTAAATAAACTTTTTTCATCTCTGTGTTCAGTTTACTTTTTCCAGCCTACAGAAAGTTTTAGAAACCCAATGTGGATGGGCTTGTGTTGCAAGACTTGAGCAATTTTCTAATGGGAAAAATTACACTAGGCTTCTTTAAAGATAATTCTAACTCGTCGTGTGTGTTTAAAATATGCTATTTGTGAGACAGATCTGAAAGGGAAAAAGGATGTTAGATAATACCAAAGAGGCCAACAACTTATTTCCCTAAGACTAAGAAGACCCATAGAGCACCAGTCTGTGACTTTCTCTTTGAGTAACACCTGGCAGCCTTTCCTTCACTGGGAGAGCTAATGATAGTTTAACTATAGGGAACTGACAGCAAGTCTCATAAACATATCTCACTAAACCCAAATTAAAGTAGTCCCAATTCAACATCCTCTTCCAGTCAGCTTCATCTCAGAAATGCTCACCACCACTCTAACAACAATCCAGTAAAAGTATAGTAATTTAAAAGATTGCAATTAAAATATAGTACTTGTACAAATTTCACTAAAACATTTGGACACATTATTAAGCTCTCTCACACAGCCTTAGAAGGGGCCCCAAGTGAGGGGCTGTGAATGTGAAGCTGCATTAGCTTCAAAGTCAGTCTGCCTCAGCTCTTTACCTAATGTAAAGCAGGTTTCTGGTTTCTAGAGAAAATATTCGAGTGATTTTTATCTTTGAAAAAACAATTCATTAAAGGCTCAGTTGACACCAGGCATGTTAATGTTTTCTGCTAAATCCAATCCATCTTCGTTTGTTTGCAATTCTTGGAGTGTACAGGAAACATAGGCAGGGGATGCAATTTTAACACCTCTCACAAGCATACTAAGATCCTGCCTCTGCCATCATTCCTCTTCTAAAAGAATGTGTATTTTGTTCTTATCATAATGATATTAATTATTCAAGTCAGGCAGCCTTTTTTCAAAGGGATAGTTGAAAAACCTTCGGCCCTTTGTCTGAAGACCTGCTTGTCCTCCAACAATGAACAATTATTTATTATCCAGTATATTTTAGTGAGCTTGTTGTGTACTTTTGACAAAACACTTCTAGACATTTACATTGTGTACGCAAGGAAACTTCTTTCGTTAAATGTGTTCTTTTCTTTTGGAAAGTATAGAAGGGAGTGCAGAAGGGAGGAATAAAGAAGACTGTTTCAGAGAGAATGATGGAGTCCAGGAAGGAGGAGATACAGGATGCGATGTGATAGTAAGTGTTCTCTGTACTGGAGAAGGGGAAGAATTTGTGTTGCTATTTCTAGCATCACTCAACTTCTGCAGGAACACACCCTGAATGGAAATAACCCCCTATTAAGCACAGTTGGAGTTGGCACTGTCTTATTTTTCACCCCTCGCACATAGCAAAGATATAACACTGTATCTGATCCAGCTGTGTGTGTGTTTCTAAAGAAATCCCTTAGAATCTTAATTTTTATCTGAATAAGTCTTCCTTTTTTTCCCCATTAAACCACTTTAGAAAAAGCTATCATATAAGGAAGGCATATTCTTCTGGTACTTTACTATCAAATAATTCAAGTTTCTTAAGAAATATATCTCATTTTTTTTTACTACAGACAATATGGGTGAGCTACTCCATGTGTAGCAAA